AACAGGGAAAGGAGGGCTTGCCTCCTCTCCATTTACTACAATGTAAATGGTATTTACCCAAAATAATAATTATATTTACCAAATCAGAAATGGGAGAGTCCAAATTATCAATATAATATAAAATGTGATATATTTTGAAGGCCGGAATATTTGTTAATTTAAGTAACAACCAATCTCTCACATTCGACCAAAACAATTCAGAAAAGGGGCAAGAGAAAAATAAATGTTCCAACGATTCATCAGATAAATTACAAAAGGAACATGGTTCCACTTCAAATTTAAATCTTGAATTTAAAAAAGTAGAAACCGGGTAGATTTTATGAACAATTTTAAAATGAGTTTCTTTTTCTTTAGGGGAAATAGGCCATTTTATAAAATCAGATAGAGCTTTTTCCATTACAGATAAAGTGTCTAAATCGGTCACTTGAGGAAATAAGCCTCTGTTAAAATTGTGAAAAATGTGGGATTTCAGGGAAGCATTAATAGATTTGTTATTCTTAAGAGTATCGCCAATAATTTCCAAATTAGGTAAAACTGATACAACATTTGAGTACAGTAAAGTATTATGAATCATTCCAATAAGTGGTACAGGAATTGCTTTACAGATTTTGTTATAATCTTTAGCAGTACACGTTATATTGTATTTCGTTGAAAAGGCCAAAAAATCTAGCAGTTTACCATTGCAATCTAGTAAATCTCTAACAAACAAAATACCCCTCTCATGCCAATCACTCCTAAACAAGGATTTTCTGTTTATGATAATCACTCTATTGTTCCATAACGTAGATCCATGAGGAGAAAAATTGTGGGTAAATATCATCTTCCAATAATGAAGTATCTGCTTATGAAAATTTGACAATTTGGTCGGAATCTTATTAACCTCAAAATCACATTTTAAAAGAAAATCAAACCCTCCTAGACGTTTAAATATGGCCTTTGGAATATGGAACCACATGGATTCTGGCTGGGACAAAAAGGCTTTCAACCATTTTATTTTAATTGTTCCAATCATCGATTCAAAGTCTAAAGCTTTAATTCCGCCTTTATCATATTCTTTAACAAGCTGTGACTTTTTAATGTAGTGAGTTTTATTTCTCCACAAGAATTGGAAAATAATTGAGTTGGCTTTTTTTATATTAGCCGAAGAGACAAAACATGAGTGGCATGGATAAATAAGTTTAGATATACCTTCTGCTTTAGTAAGAAGAACTCTGCCAAAAATAGTAAGATCTCTAGTTAACCAACGACTGAGAGATTTCTTCATATCTGTGATACGGTTACAAATATTAAGATCTTCTCTCCTGATATCATTTTTAGATAATGTTATTCCCAAATATTTCACCTCAGGTACCACTCTAATAGAGTCAATAGTGGAATCATCACATGAATGGATAGGGAGTAATTCACATTTTGAAAGATTAAGAGATAACCCTGATGCTTTTGAAAAAATTGAAATTGTGTTAAGAGTTTCCTTTACCATGGATTTATTCTTTAGGAAAATGGATGTGTCATCCGCAAATTGACTAATTTTGAACTCTTTGTCAAAGAGGGTAATGCCTAATATTTTGTGATTCTTTATAATAAGCGTTGTTAATACTTGGGTGGTCAGAATAAATAATTTGGGGGAAATAGGACAACCCTGTCGAATACCACGTAAAACCTTAAACCTAGGGCTCATTCCAGGGTTCAAAGATACAGAACTATAAATGTCCGAGTAGAGCATCCTAATTATGTTGCAGAAATGTTCACCAAAACCCAGAAATGTCAGAGTTTCCATTAAAAAGGAATGTTCAACAGTATCAAAAGCCTTGTAAAAATCCAGAAATAGTACGAGACCTTCAGTATCAATAAACTCCTGGTAATCAAGCATATCCAATATCAGTCTGGTATGGTTATGAATACTTCTGCCCTTTATAAAGGCTGATTGACATTCATCTATTAGTTGATTCAGACCCGAGTTTAACCTGTTAGCATAAACATGTGCTAAAAGTTTGTAATCATTACATAACAGGGTAATAGGTCTCCAATTATCCAACAAAAGATTATTTTTATTTGGTTTTGGAATTAAGGTAATAAGGCCATGTTTCATGGTTGGCGAAAGGTTTCCTGCTGAAATGCAATCTGTGAACGCCTTATAAAGCATTTCTCGCACATCTGACCAAAAACATTTATAAAACTCTATGGTTAAACCATCCAGCCCTGGTGATTTGCCACCAGACATTTGCAGTAATGCACTATCTAATTCTTCAATTTTTAGTCCATCGTCCATATACTGTTTAAAAGAATAATCTATTGTCTTTTTGAATTCTGTAATTTTACTAAAAAAGTTATCACAATTTTCTTTAGAAAACTTTGAGTTATATAAATTGCTATAAAAAAAGTCTAATTTCTTCATTTATCTGGTCTTGATTTTCAATAGTGACATCATTAATAATCAGTTTTTGGATTTTCTTTTTCACTTGTCTTTGCTTTTCAAGATTGAAGAAATAAGAAGTGTTTTTCTCTCCTTGCTCAATCCATCGGGCTCTCGAACGAATAAAAGCTCCCTTTGCTTTTTCCAAATACATGTTGTCTAATTGAGTTTGTAAATTGTTCAGTTGAATTTGCTCATCCAATGATAACTCAGCTTTAAGGCATAAATTATTAATTGCACTTGTCATCTCTTGTTGTTTTTGTTTCTTTAATCTAGAAGAGTATTTACAGGATTTTATCGCAATCTGTCTCACACTAAATTTAAACCATTCCCATTTACTGAGAGATGACATATCCAAAGCCAGAGTTTCTTTTATCAGTTGTTTGATCTCTCTACAAAAATCTGCATTCTCCAAAAGACTATTATTGAATTTCCATATAGGGTTAAGATTGGGACTGAAGTTGCATAGTAAAAAGGACAAAGAGATGACACAGTGATCCGTCAGAGGTGATGCTGAAATGTCACACTTTGAGACATTATTAGTTAAACTAGTAGAGATTAACCAATAATCGAGCCTAGAGCACTGACCATTGTTAGAAGAGTTAAACCAGGTATATTGTGATTTTGAGGGATTATTTATTCTCCAAACATCAGTTAAATTAAGTTTAGAGGCCAAGTGAATAATAGAATCATTAAAATTATGACATTGTCCCCTTAAAGGAAGACGATCTAACCACTCATCAGGAACTACATTAAGATCCCCTCCGATTATAATCTTATCAGTCATATAAAGTGCTTTCCATTCCTCTAATTTTTGGCACAAGATTGAAAGAAAATTATTGTTTTGAATCTTTCTGTTATACCCATAAACACACACCAGTATGTAATTAGACCCATTCACATCAGTCACAACCATTAGCCAATGACCGTTTGTATCACTCCTGTGGTCAATTATATTTCCAGGTAACCTGTTAAATAAAATCATCACTCCAGCCGAATGTGTTGTTCCATGGCTGAAAAAAATGTTGTCTCCCCATTGTACTTTCCAGAACTTAGTGTCTGCCTCTGCAGAATGAGTTTCTTGCAGAAAAACACAATTTGCTTTTTGTTCCTTACAAAAAAGAAAAATTGCCTTACGTTTCACATTGTTTTTTAGCCCCCTAGCATTTAAGGATATGAAAGATAACATTGAAAGAGCAAAGATAGAATCTTTAAGAAAATGCGCAAAGGAATGTTATATCGATGCGCAGGAGTGAGTAACGTAGCCCTTAACAAACATATTTAGTGCAATAGCTCACAACATTTTGAATATAACCTGAGACAAGTCCAATCAAACACTCAAACTGAGAACTTCAGCATACCTACTGAGGACAGAAAACCTGCTCCCTGTCCTTCCAGTTAATTACTGCAGTGTTTTTCACTTTATTCCGGGTCCACTCTTTTGTTGTCAATCAGCGCGAAGCCTTCCTTCAAAAAGGCTCTCTTCCCCTTTCTCCTGGCTTCTTGAACCAGTGGCCACAGCTTGGAGCGAGCCTCCCGGTCCTCCTTGGAGAAATCCTCTTTGAAACGAATGTGCATCTCGCTGCAGACTCTCGCATCTTTGGACTTTTTCCAGATCTCGTCACGAACAGTCCTCATCCCGAACTGAATGATGATTGACCGCGGTGTGTTGTTGGAAGTAGCTGCATTACCCTTCATACCCAGCCGATGGACAGTGTCCACTGAGTCACGCAGCTTCTCCACAGACAGCGGAACAACTCTTGTGAGTATCCCGATCACAGCTTCTCTTGTGTTTTCTCCTTCTTTTTCAGGCAGACCATTCATCCTCAGATTCCACCTCCGTTTGTAGCGGGCTTGCTCCTCGCCAGACTTACGTAGTAAAGTGTTATCTTTTAGAAGATCATCAAACTTTTTCTGAAGAGCAGAAATGTCTTTCTTATTTTCTTTAGCTGCTTCAGTGTTTGCTTCAATGCGTTTTTCAAACTTTCTTAACAGCTCTGTCTGTTCATCCATTTTTCCGGATAAGACTTGAATTGCCTGGAGAATGGTGCTGTTGCTATCCTCTGCCATTTGTGTTTCGCCGTGAACCTTCGATTTCTTTGGATTCGGTCCTTTAGTTGGTGTGTGGTCCCGATTTATTTTGTGTCCCTTAGAGTTGTCCGCTTCCATGTCCTCAATATCCGAGTCGTCACACGCCTCACGGAGAACTTTTAAGTTGTAATCGTGGTCGGTCATGCTAGCAGGCACTTTATGTCAAAAGTGTTGGTAACTGGAGAATTAAAGTAAAATGTGACTATTTAAGCTTCTATAATAACTTAAAGTGTATCATGAATAAGCTATTGCCTGTCAGTTTTACAGTCAAGGACTAAAATCTAAACTTTTTCTACGAGCCTGCAACGTTGTTACTTCTCACTCCGCCATCTTCCCGCGGATCTACTCTTTATATATGAACAGTCTAAAGTTGAATTTAGTGACGCATGTTGCGTGTGCGCATATTCAGCGCAACCGAACTCTCTCTAATCATACTGTCAACGCTGCTTCCGGTTAGCAACCAATCCGCGACGCCTCCCTGGTTACCATGGTGACGACAACTCTGCTAACTTGTCTGTTCGCTAACTAGTCAGTGAAAGAAACAACAACAGCGAAATAAGACACGGATTGTAAACTTGACTGTAATATTTGTAAGTAGTTGTTTGCTACCGTCACCAGGGAGTCGGGTGGATTTATTTGTAAAACATTTATTTGCAGGTTAAATGGCTTGTTAGTCGACGTCAGAGAGCTAGGTAGCTTAAGCTAAGCGTTAGCTCGGAGGCTAATCCAGAACACAAGAGGATTCAGTTGTTAAGTTAGTTGTATATCCTCCAAGATGAGTGAGCAACTGAGGTTCATCGTGGAGCAGCTCAACAGAGAGCCGTTCAAGAAGAGCTTTAACCTGATCACGTTTGACTCTCTGGACCCCATGCAGCTGCTGCAGATCCTCAACGATGTTCTGGCTGAAATAGACCCAAAGGTGAGAGACTAGCTTCAATAAGAACCTGCTCTGCTCAGTACAGATGTGTTTATTGTGCAAAAGGTTGCATACTATCAGTCTGTGTGTGGTTTTCTTGAATGAATCTGAACTAATGTGTCTGCATAAAAACAGGATAATATAATAACCATCAAAATATAATACAGTGAAAAGATCCATTCAGCATGACGAGGACTATTACTTTTGATACCTAGGTACATTTAGCAGATAATACATCTTCTGTACTTTATATCTTTTTTCTGTAATGGTCATTGTGCAGGATGAGTAGACGTTTTTTGCTTTAAGTATATTTTGATGCTAATACTTGTGTATTTTTACTAAAGTCACATTTTGAAATCAGGACTTTTACTAGTAGTGGAGTATTTTAAGACCATGGTATTGGTACTTTTACTTAAGTAAAGGATCGGAGTACTTCTTCCACCTCTGGCTATTTGCTGCAACTTATAGGTGGACATAATTACGTGCATTGACACAAGTACTGTACCTAAGTACACATTGAACTACTTGTACTTTACTTGAGTATCTGCATTTTCTGAGACTTCTACTCCACTGCATCCCAGAGGCAACTCTTTGTGTGTGCAGTAATGGGGCTGGAGAAGTGTGTATTATACTCATTTATGACACAATATTCTAAAGTTGCCCTATACGCACTTGTATAAAAAAAGATTTAGTATTTTGTCATTTAACTTCTGCTGCTTGACTTAAGGATGAATGATCTCTAATGAAATAAACATTAGCTGCAGAAGAGGTGCAGCCGTTTCAATGAATCCTGTCCTAGTGCAACGTTCTTTACTGACATACCTCTTCCACCTTCCCTTTCTGTCTTCAGCATGCTATGGATATCCGTGAAGAACTGCCTGAACAAACCATAAGGAGAATGTGTGCTCTGCTGGGGATGCTGAAGTACAAACCTCCTGGCAACCCGTCTGATGTGTGAGTTAAAACATCCAACCAGAACTCAACCAACCACACCTCATTCAGTGACTCACCTCACACCCACTCCCACCTGTTACTCTGCAGTGAGCATCTCATATGGGCCACCATCTCTAACCAGTGAGCTATCAGGCGTCCCTTTTGTATTATTTATTATAATGTACATATTTGTATAGAGAACTGCACAATAATTCAAATGCCTTTGGAGATAAGCAAATGAAAGCACTTTGTATATCTTTTTCAACAGCAACTAAGCCAATAACATCTGTTAAAGGAAAGAAACATCACATTTCTCCATGTAAACGTTTAGCTTTTTTGATGCACATGCAAAAACACTGGTTTGGCAGATTTTAAGTTATTGTTCTTGCTGGATTTCTTGATGATCTGAATTGGTATCTTCATGGTTGTTTGCATTTATTGTAAGTCACTTTGGGTAAAAGCCTCAGCTAAGACAGACAGACAGACAGACAGACGGACAGACAGACGGACGGACGGACGGACGGACGGACGGACGGACGGACGGACGGACGGACCGGACGGACGGACGGACGGACGGACGAATGAATGTACAGTTTGTAAGAGTAATGTTTTACGGTCCTAGTGATATATCCTTTGCTTCTCTCCTGGTGTTGCAGGAGCAGCTTCCGGCAGGGTCTGGTGAGCGGCAGTACGCCCGTGGTTCACCCCATCCTGCACTGGCTGCTGCAGAGACTCCCTGAGCTGAAGAAGAGAGCCTACCTCGCTCGCTTCCTGGTCAAACTGGAGGTGCCCGCAGAGTTCCTGCAGGATGACGTCATCAACGATACCTCTCACCAGGTCGGCAACATATCTCACATTACATTTCCTAGTTTTAGAAATAACCTTAAGAAGCAGAAGAAGTCATTCATGTTGTGTGTCTACAGTATGAGGAGCTGGTGGAGAGTTTTAAGACGTATCATAAGGAGTGTGAGCTGCTGAGGACTTCAGGCTTCTCCACAGCAGAAATCAGGAGGGTGAGAAACACTTGAGGACTCTTTACCATCTATTAAGCAATCTTTCATGCAAGAAAATACTCTTTCAGTCTCTCAAATATAGAGATGTGTTGCTTTTTATTTCAGATATTAAAGTGAATATCTTTGCGTGCGTGCGTACAGGCGGTACAACAAACTCATTTTGATTAATATGTTCAGTTTTATTATGTTATTTAGCTTCTGAAGTTTAGTTGATAACCCAATCTCACATGATCCCTCTTTTATCCAACGACAGGACATCGGTGCGATGGAGGAAGAGAAGGACCAACTCATCAAGCGTGTGGACAGGCTGAAGAAGAGGGTGAGTCAAACTAAATGCTCTGAAGGCTTTGGGATTTACTGAGGAATGAAAACATGACCCCAGGCATAACTACCAGCTTCTCTGATAGAGCTGCCAGGCTGTGAAGTAATGAGCTGTTTATCAAAGCCTGGCCAAAAGGTCAAACCTGACTCTGGTGGAGAGGTGTCTGGGTATTTCTGCTCTGCATGTGCCAGCCTGTTATGGTGCAGCAGAGATGGCAAAAGTACACGCATCCTTTACTCGAGTAGAAGTACAGATACTCTTGTTTAAAAATACTCTGGTAAAAGTAGAAGTACTGACTAAACTTCTTTACTCAAGTGAAAGTAAAGAGGGCTTTGAAATGTACTTCAGTAAAAAGTACCCATAACTAGCAGCTGTTTTAAAGAGTACCTGACCTCCCTTTATATTAATAGAACAATAATGTCATTGTTAGCTAATGAATGTTTCCATGCTGAACAACGGCAACATGACAACGTTTTCATTGGTCCCTCTTCTTTAGAGAAGACCAGGAAATGATGGATACACGGATCGTGTTCAAATCAATAGGCACGCAATGACTCTAAATAATAATGATCACGCCACCAAACACACATTCAAACTAAAGGAACCAGCCTGTTTGGGAAATGTAAGAAGTAGAAAGTACAGGTATTTGGGTTCAACATGTAAGAAGTAGAAAGTACAGGTATTTGGGTTCAACATGTAAGAAGTAGAAAGTACAGGTATTTGAGTTCAACATGTAAGAAGTAGAAAGTACAGGTATTTGTGTTCAAAATGTAAGAAGTAGAAAGTACAGGTATTTGGGTTCAACATGTAAGAAGTAGAAAGTACAGGGATTTGTGTTCAAAATGTAAGAAGTAGAAAGTACAGGTATTTGTGTTCAAAATGTAAGAAGTAGAAAGTACAGGTATTTGTGTTCAAAATGTAACAAGTAGAAAGTACAGGTATTTGGGTTCAAAATGTAAGAAGTAGAAAGTACAGGTATTTGTGTTCAACATGTAAGAAGTAGAAAGTACAGGTATTTGTGTTCAAAATGTAAGAAGTAGAAAGTACAGGTATTTGTGTTCAAAATGTAAGA